AATCAACTAGAGTTTACAGGGTTACCTTGCTGAATGAGCTGAACGAGCGATGAAAAAAAAGAAAAAAAGGAGGCGGAGGGCCTCGATGCAGGGAGGTTGAAGTGAGTGAGGCTCCTGATTGCACGAATGAAGAGGAGCGGAGAGGCTTCTGTCGCGCGAGGAAGAAGCGAGGTGGTCGAGAGAGCTTCGGCCGCGCGAGAGATGAGCAAGGAGCTTCGGTTCGCACGCGAGGGGGAAAAAAGGAGTCGAGAGGGGGCTTCGTTCGATGCAGAGGAAGGAGAAACGAGCAGGAGAGCTGAATTGTAGGAGCGGGAGATTGGTATCAGAGCTGAATCGAGCGAACTAGGGAGGAAGAAGGCCAGTGTGAGATGAAGGCGGGCAGATGGGATTCAGTCTTTGGTCGAGTGAGAGCAGGGAGGCGAGGGTTTCTGTCGAGCGAGATCAAGCAGAGGAAATCAGCAGGAGAGCCGAATGGGAGCTTCGATGCAGAGGAGAGGCGTGCGGGATGGAGCGGTCGAGATTCGGTGCCGAGGAGAGGAGTCGAATCTCGTCGTCTGAGGAAGATGGAGTCGAATGAATAATCCTTGAAGGTGAAGTCCGAGCGGCATCTTTATCCATCGAATTCCAAATAGCCGTTAAGCATGCGTTGGGAGGGGAATTAAATGGTTTCCAAATGCAAGGAGGTTTAATTGGAAAGCATTAACGCCTGAATACTTTTTAATTAAGACATAATTTAAATGATTTATTTGAATTTAAAATTTGAATTTCAAATTCAGGTGAGCTAGTGCCTAGCCTGTGTTCAGCCCAAGTCCAACCTGAATCGAACCCGAGTTAAACCTGGGTTGAGCCCAGACCCGCGCACCGCTAAATGAAAAAAAATGCATCGATATCCGTGCTAATTGCTCGTGAGCGAAACTGTAACAATACGAGTGTCCTTCCTAGCTAAAATTGACGTCTCAGACGCATCCGTGTGGTCCGTTTCGTCATCCAGGGTTGTCCGGACGAGTTCTTCGACAGACGAGTCAATTTAAGCCAAAATAGTGCGGGGTGCGACGCGTGCGTAAAATGCGGTGTTATCGAGTGTTCGGGTCAGAAATGAGTTTCCTAGGGGCTGCTCCTATTAAAATAGGAAGTCGACTCGAATTTCATGTGTCGATCTTAATCAATTCAACGGAATGCCGAAAAATTGGGACAACCCATGCTAAACTCGAAGGAGTGACGAGGTGACTCGAATTTTCTAAATGGTGTGGGTTCCGTACTAGTCCTCTAGAAGGGTCAAACAAGAAAAGCCTAAAGCTAGACCCTAGGCTCTAAGGAGAGAAGTGAAGACCTCATCCGAAATGAGGTCAACACATTATCGAACGAATGAATGTGTATTGACGGTCGGGAGTCACCACGATCGATCAGTTAAATTATTATTAAATATACTTGTATATTTAAAGTGTACAGTTGAGCTTAATACCCCTAAGCATCTTTGTATAGAAGAGGGCCACATGTAATTATGTATTCTAGGTATCTCCTATAACTATAAATATGAGATCATTTTAGGAAAAGAGGTTAGATTCTCTCATTTTACTATTTACTTCTTTTTTGTCTCCGATTCCCCTCCTTTCATATACTCTATTTCTTGGATGTGATTCCCCAAACACTTTAGGATTCAACAATGGTATATATATAATATAAAGTGTTGTGTGTGTGGATATGATAAGCGGTTAGGATTTCTCCTGGTTGTTGTGGCTAGGACAGTGGGGACAAGCTGTCCTTGTGGAGGTTGTGACCAATGTTGTCCTGTGGAGAATGTAGAATGCTGTCAATGGTAACTTATCCATTTGGAAAGGGATAAAAGAAAGAAGAATATTAAGGGTTTAATTTTATTCAACATGTATCATTAATTCTCCATTCCCTACATTTTAAGAACCCTGACATAAAATGGTTCCCATAATGCACTAAAAAGGAAAAAAAAAATCAAACTAATTTAGACAATTGTTAATGTTTACCACACATTTATCATAATTAAAACCTGTGCAACACATGCTTAAAACCCAAAATGGAACATAGTTCAATAACTTATCCTACATTATTGCATCAATGAAACACTAAATATCCCTTATAAGCATTTACATAATTAATACAAATAGAGCTTAACTCAGTGCTCATCATTAATTTAATCTTATTTCAATCGAAAATTGCTTTAGTCTTTCCCTTATTCTCCGGCATACATTTAGACATTTCCTCATTGCGCATCGAAGCAATTTTAATGATACTTAATTATATACCCGTTTCAGGTTAGTTAATGGAATGTGAAGACATTTTCTTTGCTCTTTATACTATTGAATCATTTTATAACAATGGTTGCTCTTGTAGTAGATTTTTTTGGTATGAAATTAAATTGAATTCTCCAAAATTTTTTTTTTTTTGAGAGTTTATGTTTCATTAATTTAGACTGAGTATGTTGTATAAAAAATGATTTTAATTTATTAGAATTAAATGAAAATATGACACTTAATAGGACACAATGGAGTAAAAAGATTTATATAGCCAACCTCGACTAGTGGGTAAAGGCTTGTTATTGTTGTGTATGTCCATTAATCTCGAGTAGGTTCATAGTATGACTCATAAATTTTATTTATCTATTATGTGCACGATCTTATTTTTTTTAATTCTTAAATATTTTTGCTCAAATGCTTATTATCCAATCATTTAACATGCTCTTGGCCTTTAAAATATAATTAAAAAAATGTGAGTTAAATGTTTATATTGTCTCTCACAGCTCTCTTAATCTTAATAGTATTTCATTTTGATCTCAAACTTTACCTTGTGTATTTTTTGTTAGGTAACCCTTCTTTATTATTCTAGATCAATGTATATTAAACCATGCTATTTTTGTTTATTATGCTCCTTTAAAAAGAATTTCGTCCTTAAAAATAGTATTTAATAATTTCTTATAATATTAAACTTATCTTTCTTTGTTGTCTTTAGCCTGAACTAGGATTCAGCTATCTACGCTTCTAAACATTTGATTTGATCAAAGTCTTTAGATCTCTTATATATTCTATTAGATCTTTTGCATCAAATCTTTTATATAATTCATTAAAAATTATAATATTTTCTTTGCTTACAACATTCTTTGGATGTTTTTTAGGAGATGAATAAATAGTTACAACATTTACATGTTCTCTCTAATAAATATCTTGGTGACAAATCACCCCATTACCAACCCTATATTCCTTAACAATTTTAAAGTTTAACTTGTTATCCAGTGTTGTCCTACCGAGCTCCTATTGTTAACCAAAAATACGATAACCTATATTCTTTTCTAGTCTCTTCAATTTTTTTGGGTGTTCATTTACTTTTCTAAACAAATATTAGTTATTTTTCTTCTATTTTTTTTGTTCACTGGCATTGTCTTAATCAATATTATTGAACATGTTATTAATAATTGTAAAATTTATTATGAACTAAAATGATTAATAAAACTATTATAGCATTTATTTTTTGCCTACTAAGCCTAGGACATTTTTTACTTAATTAATTGCTTATCCACTTAGCTTAGCTATGATTTTTTGCTCTTCTTAACACATGAATTCACAAAAAATGCAACCTTTTATATTCTATAAAAGTAATGTTTACATGTTTATGATATTCTTTCATAACAAATATACTAAGTGAAGTTCATATTTTCATGCCTACCTCATGTTGTACGAGTTATAAACAGTCACAGGCTCCATAATTATTTTGACTTATAGATCCGTGAAATTTAAATCTATCATAAATGACACCAGTTGAGCTTTTATAGTTAATCATATTACTTTTACAAATACCATATTTATTAAAATTACGCATTTATTATTTTTTGTTTGCTAGTCCTATAGTTCTTATTTCCTAACTTATGTATAAAACAGTGGAGGCATTATAGTTATTATGTGGCGGTGCATAAGCCCCTTAAAATTCTTAATATTTATTGTGAATTAAAAATATGATTGAAGGTTGGATTCAAGAAAAAAAAGTAAAATAGATTCTAAATTTTTAGTATTACTATGATTCATATTATAACTCCAAAATATAATATATATATATATATATATATAAAATTAAATATAATAAGATGTCAAAATAAAAAAAGAATAGAGGTGAGCCGGCATGGAGCTTTGGTAGAATTGAGCGGTAATTAAGTGAGGCAAATGAAAAGCAATAAAGGAGTTTTTGGTTTAGCGAGCCATGATATGCAAATAGACTGGAATCGGGAGAGATGATCGAGGTTTGGCTTTTTTTGCTTGATTGAAAGGACTTAATCATAATAAAATTGCAAGACAAATAATCTTTTTATTCATTTTTTTATTTATATAAACAGGAAAGATATTTATAATATTTTAAAATTTGGAAATTTGATAATTTAATTTAAGTTATATGCCTTGATTGTTGTTTTTTAATAGAGCGCGTCCTAGGTGCCAAGGGCGATGCCTTGACTTTTGAAGCGTATGCCTCACAAGTTAAACATCTCCTCTAACTATCTCAGGGTAATTTTATCCCACCCAGCCTTCAAACAGTTTTGTTTAAGTCTCAAAAATGCCTTTTAAGGTAATTTTATCCCACCCAGCCTTCAAACAGTTTTGCTTAAGTCTCAAAAATGAATGCAGCTTCCAACTTTTTCCTTGATTATTTTTTCTCACAAAATTTGTATCTTTTATTATGATTATATTATCTACAAATAATTTATCCATTATTTGTTGGGAATGGCCATATCCCAAGTATTTGGTTTGAGTTTCCAAATAAATAACTATGGAAAACATAATAGATATGGACTCACTGCTAAATCTTGAAATGAACAAATATATACAGCCTTCGAATTTTATTTCTTCAAATTATATGACTTAATTTAAGCTAGTTTTCATTATTGCGACTCCTTTGCATCATACTCGACCTTTCCCTAGCCTATTTTAACCAAAAAGATGAGAAAGCTGTTTTCTATGTGCTTATAAAATTTTTATACCTCCTTCCAGGTTCGCCAGTTGACAATCACAATCAGGTTTGTTCCATTTTTCTGTACGGCCTCCTTGATCTGTGTTGCATAATCTCACATTGTCTCCCTGCTTCATTTTGAACAGGACCATTGTGAATGGGTTGTGCTATCTTGCAACTTTTGTGTTTGGTATCAACTCAATTGGGTTGATTCTCTACTCTATCCAGCTTGCTTTTAGTTCTGTCATGGAAGGGACAAGCAACAACTCATCTTCTATTAACATTGAAGGTGAAAATACAGATTTTATGGATCCTTCCAAGACTTCAACAGATGAAGCTGATTCAAAAGACAAGGGAATGTCTGAGAGTTCAGATGAAGCTTAGTTTTTCAGGATGCTGTCACTGCAATCAGGTCAGTCCATCGCTATCTTCATTTCAAGTTGATTATTTTTTTTTTCAGTTTGGACAGATAAAAATTCCTTATTATAATTTATTATAGGAAATGATGAATTTGTTAGGGATGGTGAACGATCTATTGTGTGAAAATCGCTATAGAAATTTAGTCCATTCAATGCTGATATTTTAGTTTTTGAGCTTTTGTCCTTATGCTTTTTCTATCGCATTCCCAGAACCTTTTTATTTTCTCAAAGGGCTCATTTGGTTGCTTGTAGATAGCAAAATATATCTGAAAATAAAAATTTTTCAATATTTTTGTTTTTCAAAAAAAGATTGTTGCATCTGAAGGATTTTTGTTGGTGTTTGTAATGTTTTGTACTAATTTTCTTTTCAGTGAATCAAATGAACCACGAAAGCCTACTAAATTCATTAACTTCAAAACATCTTTTCTATCTTCATAAATTCATCTGGGCCAAAATAGGAAAAAGGGAGAAAAAGGGCTTCTAAAGCAAATTTCTCAGCATTATGAATACCAAACTTTGACAATACTGGAAGATTGAACCATATAAATTTTTTTTTATATATATATTTTTATGAAGCTTGGGTGCTTTAAAAGGAGTTCTTCATTCATTCATGGTTGTTCCGCCAGTGGAATACGTCAGGTATAGAAATTATTAATATTATTTTTTTGGCCATATGCTTCAGCCTTTACCCATATTTATGTTTTTCTAGACTAGAATATTTTGCAATATTTACTTTTATTTTTTTAGAATGTTGATCGAAAATCTTGCTAGCATCGGATGTAGAACTTTCACCTACTGAAGGAGGGTGAAATCCCCGTTTACTAGAGCAATCATGCGGCTATTCATAGCTAAAAGTTGAGCACCTATTCATCTACTAGGAATATGATTGGTTGTCCTTTTGCTTTGTGCCTATTTTATTGTAAAAAAAATTGTAGGTTGTCAATTTAGATTAATGGATCAACATTCACAATTTGATTCTACTTTACTAAACTCAAATTTGTTCTGACACATTGCATTAGCATCAATCTGAATCGAACTGAACACAATTAATCGATTCGAACACAACTAAATAAGTATAGTTTATTATGAGTTTTTAATAAAAAAAACAAACAAGTTAAGTTATAATTTTTGGGTTAATACATGACTTCAAATTGATTAAAATTTCTGTGTCAGCTCAGCTGACTTAAGTTTAACCAATGTTTTTACTTATTGACTTGATCCCAAATTTTGTTATCTCGTTCGAGTCAAATTTTATGGTTGGTCTATTATTGATACCCCCACTTTTTTGTACATCAGCACCCCATTATCAAAAACTCTGATTTTGCTTGCAGTCTTATTGCTCATTTTCTTGGAAATTCTACGCTGACATGCACTTTTTTCTTTTCTATTTTGATGGAAAAAAATTTATATATTTATGTTAATTAAACGGTTGAGTTTGAATGTGAATTATAAATTTATTCCAGTATAAACAATATGTTTGGATTTCTTCTTACAGGCTACTTAAGTGAGCATACCTAAAAATATTGTTTATGTCTTCACGTTATTGTTCTTCTTTTATCATTTGACATCTATAGTATGTTAGGAAAAGCTTGGCGAATTGCAGGATTTTGAGATTCCTTGTTAGAAGAATTATTATCATATAAGGAGTTGATCATCAAGATGCAACTATATAAAAGACAATACATATCATATCATTTATTTATGGGACGAAGATAGTCATATAACATAAATGTTTTCTATTTTAGAAAATTATTATATTGCCAGTCATTTTTAAATGAGTTAATAAGCTCATTATTCTCACTTAAACTTTGAATATAAATCAACTAATTTTATTTTGCAATTTGTGAAAAATAATATTATTTATTTTATTGAATGATTGTGCCATCAATATTTTCAATTAAGGGTGGAGTAACCGGAAAGAATTAATCATTATAAAAATAATTGTTGATCTCTTTTTCCTTTTCAATGAAAGATGGCTGAAATGTGAATAAGAGAACAAGCATTGGATGTCATCTCTCACTCTCCGCGTTTTATAAAGAAAAAATGCTTTGAATGCTTGTTATTAAGGTGTATTTTTGATTAAGGTGGCATTCAATTATGAAATTAAGTTTTGAAGATTTCAGGCATGCCTTTTTTCAATAAAAAACTATGTATTAATGTGTATTTTAATGTTTATAGACATTGATGTGTATTATAATACTTTTAGATTGAGATAATGTAAGCAATTATTTATATGTAGTGAAATGTGGAGCTTGTTGACTTATTCTGATTAGTCTACTCGGAAGGGTATGCATATAAATTTTGTTTATATTTTCATGTTATTACTCTTCTTTGAATAACTATATTCTATTCATTGTTGTCCTTATGCTGATAGGTGTCTGTCAATCAGAAAGGACGGAAATCAGGACGGAAATCAAGCAGCTTTCTATAATTAGAAGCTTCCTTATTTCTAATATATTTATTCTGACTTATTTCTCTTTTAGCTGAGTATTTGATTAGGAATATGTATTATTAAGTTACCTAAAATAGATTATGCACTTTATTTTGTACCAAAAATATATAAGATTGTTATTTAATGGAATGAAAGCAAAGGGAAAAAGGAATCGAGCCTATTGAGAATTCAGCCTATTTGCTCAAAATATTGACAATAGGTAATCCATTCTTCTCAACAGATTGTTATTTAATGGAATGAAAGCAAAGGAAAAAAAGGAATCGAGCCTATTGAGAATTCAGTCTATTTGCTCAAAATATTGACAACAGGTAATCCATTCTTCTCAATATTTTTTAATACAAAATTATTCTATTTCTATTGTGGCTTTCTCGAAATTCTGCCCTTAGAATTTAATATGCTTTTATGTATTGATATAGCATTATTTGAATGATAAAAGAAAAAAAAATAAAAAAGAGTAGAAGAAGCTTACAATAACTATAGAGGTTAAAACAAGCGCATGAAGAAATTGAAAGCAAACTATGATAACTATGATAACTACTTCTAACTAAACATAATTTAGTTTTTCATGTTAAGTAATTTTTCAAAGTTTGTTAACAATAATCACTTGGTTAAAATCTCTGCATTAATTTCTCCACTCTTTTGTTATTCAATAACTTTATTATGTTGCTTCTTCCAAAAAAAGAAAAAGAAAGAAATCTCTTATATTGAATGAACACCAACAATATATATCAAATTAAAGATTGTAATGAAATGTAAGTAATTTGGATGTGTTTTTTAGCCAAAATTAATGCTAACTGGAGTTGATGAACAGAACAATTAATAAAAAAAATTAAATCATTATTTTTCATAAAAAAATCAGTCTATGAATCCCATCATGTATGTTCTTGCCCCATTATATCCTTGGCCATGTAATGTAATCTACAAGAAAAATGTTTCAATTATTTTTTTAAGTGTTGAAACAATATAGCCTTTACATTTATATTTGGCTAAAAAGTGTCTGATAGCACAACATATTGATGTGTGGAGTATAATAGCTACCTTGTTTTTTGGGCTAGCACACATTGATATGCATCCAATAAAATTGCAACTAATACATTTCATGCATAAGTAAGTCTCAATAGCAAAATTAGATGCAAATTCTTTCCAAATGTTAGAAACAAAATGTTTCTTTTTGCTTGGATCTTTTCTAAGAACCACCTTATTTTCATATTAGTTTGCCAAAGAGCATCCATGTTCAAATCTTTTTCCTCAATGTTTAAAATCTTTTAATTCATCAATTTTTGTGTAGATCGACTTGTACATAATCAAGAAGGGCAACTAATTATGCTCATAATAGGTGTAGCTAATCATCCTCATATATTTATGAGCATCAAATGACCAATATGAACTTGAAAGATAATCATCTTTTTGTAATTTTTAAATTTCTTGGTAACCAAACTTTCATCGCTTGCTACGTCTCGTCTGACTTGGCAAAATCATCAATATGCAATATAAGAGAAATTATACACATCATCATCCAATTAAAACAAAAGTATCATATATTTATAAAAAAAAAGTTATTATATAAAATATGAGAGATGATCAATGAAGAAAAAATATTTATGTACACCTAATATTGTTATCCCAAATATTTGGAAGATATTTCTTATGCGAGTGTGATCAATGCGGCATGCTCAATCAGTCATAATTTTATATGATTATCAAATTGAGTTAAAGATAGGTATATTCAACTTGTTAATTTTTGATTTGATTCTATATGTGGTGTATTTGAATCCACTTGGCTTACCTTCTTTTAAGCAAAGTTTGATGCATTTGTCTAAATTCTATTCTTTTGACATCTCAAATGTAGATTTATTGTATTAGATAAACAAGTTAATGAATTTTATAATTGACATGATTTTTTATGATGTATTAATGGAAATCATATTCAGCTAGCTCAACTAGCTTTGTAAGTCACTCAGTAATTGCAACATCCATGGCCTTATGTTGGCTCACTTAACCTTGCAGGCAGCTCCTATGCGAGATGTAATGCCTACTTGTCATGTTATTGGCCACCCAAGAAATCTGTCACTCTTGTTTTTTACAATTAGTTCCTATATTTTCTTGTGTGCAAAACTCTTGCCCCATTATATCCTTGGCCATGTAATGTAATCATGTTTTACTCAACCCATGCTACAAGAAAAATGTTTCAATTAATTTTTTTAGTTTTGAAACAGTGTAACATTTACATTTACTTTTGCCTAAAAAGTGCCTGATAGCACATCATATTAATGCGATGGAGTATAATAGCTACCTTGTTTTTTTGGCTATCACACATTGATATCCATCCAATAAAATTGCAACTAATACATTTCATGCATAAGTAAGTCTCAATAGCAAAATTAGATGCAAATTCTTTCCAAATGTTAGAAACAAAATGTTTCTTTTTGCTTGGATCTTTTCTAAGAACCACCTTAATTTTCATATTAGTTTGCCAAAGAGCATCCATGTTCAATTCTTTTTCCTTAATTTTTAAAATCTTTTAATTCATCATGATCATGATTTTTGTGCAGATCGACTTGTACATAATAATGGGCAACTAATTATGCTCATAATGGGTGTAGCTAATCATGCTCATATATTTATGAGCATTACATAACCAATATGAACTTGAAAGATAATCATCTTTTTCCAATTTTTAAATTTCTTGGTAAACAAACCATCATCGATTGCTTCTTCTCTTATCAGACTTGGCAAAATAAAAATAAAGGCAATTGATTACATTTTTTGTAATATATACTCCAACCATGTTTTATATTTATATCTCTTTGGATTAAAATCTGATGCATGACAAAAAAATCATGATAGAAATATAATTTTCATGGACAGAAACCTAATTTATTAATATGATATTATGTTAAGATACCTTACTGAGTAGTCATCACTGTAAAAAAGGTTGATAATCAATATGCAATAAGAGAAAAATGATCCACATCATCATCATCCAATTAAAAAAAAGTATTATATATTTGCGAAAAAAAATTTTATTTTAAAATTTATTATATCTTCACCATCATTGTAAAAGAGATTGATTACTACCTTGATTATTGCTTGAATTTAAATAAAAGAGTACTTAAATTTTACTATAAGAATATGAAAAGATATATTTTCTTTATTAAAAATTTGTACCCTAAACTCTTCATTTACCAGGGGAACAATAAAAAAAAATTTATTATCATAATAATAATTATTAAGATCTATTCTTTTGTCACTTAAGGATGGCTAAAATTTTATGCAATGAAATATTTTTATGGGATCCCTCACTCTCCACTATTGGTTAGGACTCAAATGCAAGAAAGAAAGTTTTAGACACTTTATATTCAATGATCTCTTTAAATGAGTATAGTGATCATTTGTTATGAAATAAAATTTTATAAATTTTGACATTCCTTATGTTTCCATAAAATTACCTAATAATATATGTTGAATGCTTATAAATATGAAGTGCGTTTTATTAGAAAAGCATATAGAGTTGAAATAATTTAAGGTGCTGCTTAGTGTAATGAAAGATGAAACTTGATTGATGGCTTTCTCCTATCTGGCTACATAAATGAATAACAATATCCCATTCCCTATGAGCTTCAAATTTAAATTGTCATTGGCAGCCCTTTTTCAATCTTTATATTTGATATCAAAACTAAAAGCTTTGACTTCATTGTATATTAGAGAAAATTAGATGACTTCCCCTCTTATCTTAATATATTTGTTTATATAATTAGTTGTGCTTATAAAGTTCCCACACATTGCTCTTTATCATCACAATTGTTAAATTTTATCTATGATCAAATATACTAGAAAGTAGTGGCTAGGTGGCCATCTTATATTAATGTTATATTGATGTCAACTCTCGTTGAAAAATTGCTCAAAAAGTTAGCTTGTCATTCTAGTGATTTAGAGTTTC